GTTCCAGTGCTCCCCAGGCTAGTAGCTGGTCCACTCCAGGAGTCTGAGGTACGAGAGGTTCCTCCGCCCCCACTGGACATCGAGGGGGCTCCGGCGTACTCAGTGAGGAATCAGCCCAGAACTACACTTGTCAAAGATCTCAAGGCAGCTGGGACTATAGTCACCAAGAAAACAATTGGTAACACACTACGCCGTGAAGGACTGAAATCCTGCAGTGCCCGCAAGGTCCCCCTGCTCAAGAAAGCACTTATACCGTCTGAAGTTTGCCAATGAACATCTGAACGATTCAGAGGAGAACTGGGTGAAAGTGTTGTGGTCAGATGTGACCAAAATCGAGCTCTTTGGCATCAACTCAACTCGCTGTGTTTGGAGGAGGAATGATGCCTATGACCCCAAGAATACCATCCCCACCGTCAAAAACATGGAGGTGGAAACATTATGCTTTGGGGGTGTTTTTCTGCTAAGGTTACAGGACAACTTCACCGCATCAAAGGGACGATGGATGGGGCCATGTACCGTCAAATCTTGGGTGAGAACCTCCTTCCCTCAGCCAGGGCATTGAAAATGGGTTGTGGATGGGTATTCCAGCATGACAATGACCCAAAACACACGGCCAAGGCAACAAAGGAGTGGCTCAAGAAGAAGCATATTAAGGTCCTGGAGTGGCCTAGCCAGTCTCCAGATCTTAATCCAATAGAAAATCTGTGGAGGGAGCTGAAGGTTCGAGTTGCCAAACGTCAGCCTCGAAACCTTAATGACTTGGAGAAGATCTGCAAAGAGGAGTGGGACAAAATCCCTCCTGAGATGTGTGCAAACCTGGTGGCTACAAGAAACGTCTGACCTCTGATTGCCAACAAGGGTTTTGCCACCAAGTACTAAGTCATGTTTTGCAGAGGGGTCAAATACTTATTTCCCTCATTTAAATGCAAATCAATTTATAACATGCGGTTTTCTGGATTATTTTGTTTTTATTCTGTCTCTCACTGTTCAAATAAACCTACCATTAAAATTATAGACGGATCATTTTTTTGTCAGTGGGCAAACGTACAAAATCAGCAGGGGATCAAATACTTTTTCCCTCACTGTATGTGTTTCAACAATTTATTAAACAGTGTAGAAAGCTACAGTCTAATCTTTATTTTTTTATGTCTATGTTTGCTTATTCTGGATGAGAAGGAAAGCAAATAGACATAGGGAAATACAGAGCACCACGTCAATGTAGACAATTAGGGCTGGTTTCCCAGACACAAATTAAGAATGAACATTTTAAATTGAAAGTTTTTTTAGTCAAGGACCAGTCTGACAAAATTGTTGAATCTCTAATCAACTGACAGCTTAGATCTTAGCTAGCTAAAAAATATTATCTAAATGTGCATTACTCAGGCTTCAGACCATGGCATAGCACCATCTCAGCAGCATCACTGGTTTTAAATTAAGCAGTGGTGGAAAAAGTACCCAACTGTCATACTTGAGTAAATGTGAAGATGCCTTAATAGAAAATAACTCAAGTAGAAGTGAATGTCACCCAGTAAAATACTACTTGAGTAAAAGTATTTGGTTTGAAATATACTTAATTATCAAAAGTAAAATGTAATTGCTAAAATATACTTAAGTATCAAAAGTAAAAGTATAAATAATTTAAAACTCCTTATATTAAGCAAACCAGAAGACCGCATTTTCTTGTTTATTTTAATTTACGGATAGCTAGGGGCACGCTCCAACACTCAGACATCATTTACAAACAAAGCATTTGTTTAGTGAGTCATCAGATCAGAGGCAGTAAGGATGACCAGGGATGTTCTCCTTGATAAGTGTGTGAATCTTATAATTTTCCTGTCCTGCTAAGCATTCAAAATGTAAAGAGTACTTTTGGATGTCAGGGAAAATGTATGGAGTAAAATGTACAATATTTATTTAGGTTGTCCAAAATATCAATAGTAAAGTAAAGTACAGATACGCAAAAAAACAACTTAATACTTTGAAGTATTTTATTAAGTGGTAAATTGTTTGGATTAGTGTTAATCTCGTCAACAAAAATAGTGACTAAAATATTCGCCAAACACCTATTTTTCAGTGGGAATTACATAGACCATAGCCTAACTGGCTAAATAGAACAAGAACACACTATAGGCTCAAATATTATATTATTATGTAGGCTACTAAAGATAACGTTAGTAGTATTGTTAGCTATGGACCGGGTCATTCTAGATAGTTTTAGAGGGCGACTAAACTTATTTTATTAAGTGCTTTTCATTAACACATTGGCCTACCTTGTTTTCCATGAAAAGTTGTGTTTGCTCTATCGTGAGGCAGAACCAGGCAGGCAGGAGAGGAAGGTTGTCACTAGTTACCACAGCCACCACAATGTCAAAATTGGCTATATTGTAAAAAATTTGTCTCTGTAGGCTGTACCTAGCAGACCACTGTGACTGACAAGTGAATCCACCAATAGCAGCGAGCATGGGGGTTAACGTGTGAAATCACTGGGACAGGGTTGTATTCACGTGACAAAACCGAGGAAAGTGGGCTGAAATTGGGGGATGTAGTATGTGAACTTGTCCATTAAGAAACACCTGCTTTCTTTTCCGTTGCGAAAAATGTCAATATGTTTTTCTATGACGGAAACGCGTTCGATGTGGCGGCACCGCCACACCAGATTGTAAAAATACTGGGGCAAATGCTGTCTCACCACACATTTTCCAGAAGCTCTGGTTTAAAATCTACCTGACAGATAGGACACAGTGTATTTTCTGACATTGTTAAGTCGAGTTTCCTTCATATTACGAAAGGTGTCCCATAGGGGTCGGTTTTAGGTCCTGTAATTTTTACTGCCTATATAAATAATATTGGTCTGTCTGCAAAAAAAATTAACATAAACCTGTATGCAGATGGCACTGTTGTGTATGCTATTGCCCCCACTGTTGACCAGGCTTTTTCGGAGCTGCAAACTGCCTTTGTTGCTTTGCAGAAAGCATTTGTTCAACTGAAGTTGTCACTTTATACATTTAAAACCAAGTACATTATGTTTTCCAATTCACCTAAAAATGTATCTGATGATTTATGCATGTGTACATTGGATAGTGCCCACGTTGATCGTGTCTCAAACTTATAAATATCTGGGCATCTGGATTGACGAAATGTTATCTTTATGGATGAGTTAGTTAAGAACGTAAGAATAGAAATGGGCTTCTTCTTTAGAAATAGATCATGCCTCTCCTTGAACAGCAGAAAGCAAATCATTCAGTCAACTTTCCTGCCAGGACTAGACTACGGTGACACCATTCATATGAATGCAACTGTCACTACACTGAAACCATTAGATACAATTTAGAACAGCACACTTCGCTGTATTACGGGTGACCGGTTCATTACAAATCATTGCATTCTATATCAGAAAGTAGGCTGGCCCTCTCCTAAGCCTTTTAGATCAATACACTGCTCTCTTTTTTGTTTATAAAGCCCTCTTGTGCAAACCTCCGTCATACTTTTGATTATTTAAGTCAATGCGTTGATATTGAGTCTCTCTTTCTCTCCACAGTACTCTGTGCAGCCCAGCATTCAGCCCAGCCTGAGACTCAGCAGGTGAAAGGCATTGTGGGAAAGTTGATCTATTTTCCAGAGACAGTGTTGAAGTCTGGCAATTTACTTTATGGAGACCTTGGCAATATTGCACAGGTGTACCCTGTTAAACAAAGTAATACCAACCTTGTGAATAGATTTAAAAACCGCCTTCACTGGAACAATGTCACTGGATTCTTCACTTTGTCAGACCTACAAATAGAGGATTCTGGGGTTTATGCTGTGGAGAATGCAGTTAAAGATGAAGAGAAGACGACACATACATTCCAGCTGACTGTGTACTGTAAGTGTGTGTGTGTGTGTGTGTGTGTGTGTGTGTGTGTGTGTGTTGTAAATTACTAAATCATTAAAGTGGCACTCAGCAGCAGAAACAATACTAAAGTGGTCTCTTTATTGGTTTGGTAAAAAGCTGAGGAATGTGGCTGGAGAAATGTAACCACTCTCAAATTCATAGACAGAGCTATGGATGTAAGGACTGATCATCCATTATATAAGAAGTATATTTTTAACCATGTTTTGTGACTATATATTGTTTGTTTACAATTTCTTTGTTTACAAACACCGGAGTAAAACAAGCTTATGTGTTCTCTGACAGAGACTAAGCTCATGAGGCATTTATAAGTTCTATTCTTCAAGAATCAATGGGTCCATATCATTAATGTATAAGTCCAAAAATGGATGCCGCAACTGCTCTTTGCCACTTTAAAGATAAGTTCCATTTCACCAATTCCCATTTTTTCATTATTTTCTTCCAGATGTTCTATCCAAGCCTCAGGTGATGGTCCATGACAACAGCTCCTGTAGCGTGGTGTGTTCTGTGGAGAACGGAAGAGAGGTGACCCTGTCCTGGTACAGAGGAGGAGAGATACTCAACCAGAGCAGCAGCCCTGACCTCAACATCACCCTCTCTCTACCTCTCAAGGTGGATGAACAGAACAGAGACTCTTACAGATGTGAAGCTGCCAACCCAGTCAGCAAGGAGACCACTGTTGTTCCAAAATCCTGTATAAAGAGTCATCCCTCCAAGTTGACAGGTAAAAACATTTACAGTAGCAATGTTATATTGCTTATATCCAGACAATACCAACTTCTATATGAAACAATAAGTATGGTATAGCTCATTTTATGAAACACAATGTTTTAATTCAAATATTGTTTTCTCTCTTTTTACTTTAGATGGTGATAAGAGGACTCAAGGTTTTCTTATTATTGCTGTAATCTGCGTTTTGGTTGCCTCAGGACTTGTTGGACTTGCAATATATCTTAAGAAGAGGAGAAATGGACAATCACAAGCAGGTATTCATCTTTTAGTGGTGTGTGGTCATTCTCCTTGTCAAAGTCAAAACATGTTGTGCACAACCGTTTTTAAAGTGTCAAGGATAGTGTTTTGGAAAAGGTAGGAAATGTTTGCCTGAACAATGGATGCAGGTCAAATGAAGTGGTATATCTTCCACACTTCCTCTGCTTGGTCAGACAGTTACATTATCTCTTTGCCTTTATAGATTCACCCGGAAGAAAGCAAGATGACATTCAGTATGCAGAGATAACTCACATTAAACCAGCAGATAACCAGGTTAGTAATAATGCTACAGGCTGATAAACATAGGAGACGTAATACAGCAGCTTTTGCAGCCCTCATGGCTACAACTATAGCCTTTAGCTCTGTGCCAGTGGGTTAATGTGGTATTGAGTTGCACAGACAACCTGAGTTTAATAACCGGCCTGATGTCATTTTAACCAGTTTTGCCCACATGAAATAGTTGGGTTGCACAATGAGAAGCCAAACTGCACATATTTATACACAGTACCAGTCAAAAGTTTGGACACACCTACCCATTCAAATGGGTTTATTTACATCCATGGTAGTGAGCATTTCTTCTTTACCAAGATAATCCATCCACCTGACAAGTGTGGCATAGGAGGAGGATTTCTGTCTGTAACAAAGCCCATTTGTGGTGAAAAACTCATTCTGATTGTCTGGGCCTGGCTCCTGCATGGGTGGGCCTATGCCCTCCCAGGCCCACCCATTGCTGCGCCCTTGCCCAGTCATGTGAAATCCATAGATTAGAGCCTAATGAAATCATTTCAATTGACTGATGTCCTTTTATAAACTGTAATTCAGTAAAATCTTTGAAATTGTTGCATTTACATTTTTGTTCAGTATAGTAATGCATTTGATCTTCCCGTGTCTTTTACAGTATTTGACAAGTCTGTGGACTTTCAAGCTTGGCTTCGTGGTTCCTCCCACTAGATTTAGGAATGGTCCTAGATGTGTTTACTGTTGAGTTGCCTACTGCAGAACAATGAGACTTGACAAGAAAGCGTCAGACGTGTCTTGTTTCCTTCCTCTGGCGCAAAGTATCTAATAATGAAACATATGATCATTTTTCCCCTCTTTCCTTGTCCCTCTCAATCCTTCCCTCCCTACCTCCCTTTCCCTGTCTAGGAGTCGCTTAGAGACAACCCTAACCTGACAACAGTAGTTTATGATACACTCCAGTTACATCGCATGGCTGCCAGCGAGGATGTTAACACTGCATGAAGGAGCAAAACAGCAAGGTTCTGAGAGGGTGACATGATAATTCACATCCAAGAGAAGGCTTTACATCCTAAAGAGGACGTTAAGACAAAAGTATAGTAAATATTCATCTAGAAAACTTAATGGAGGCACAGTTGTTACTGGAGAAAATTCCCATTTAACCATTGCACTGTTTTTATTTCAGACTTCCTTTGTTGGTCATTCTCACAGTCTTTTGTTGAATTGGGGCCTCAATGAGATTCACTGATAGACAAATTCAATAGCTATGCCTATGGTTATTAGTAGGATGATCACACTTTTCTAGTGCCCATTGTCCCAATGTATATCTTAAAACAAATGGAACCTATCTTTTAATCCAATTCACTAGTGTGTTAGCTATGCTATTGCTGGGCCAAAGCTTATTTTCAGTACTGTCTGTTCTGTTTAAATGTAGGTGCCTGCCCTGTATCTTTTTATAGCTGGTCATTGTTTAGCTTGCCATTGGATAGCAGCAGTGTACATACAAAGCATATGTTTGGTGAGATAAAGCCTCCTACTCCTTAGAAGCAATGGCTGTTATGCTATGTTGGAAACAAAAAGTCCATAGGTTGATTTTTTTTTTTTCTTTCACCATGTAGATTCTATTGAAACATTTCTGAGGGGTAGATCTTGATTTGCCTTTTGACTCAAAGTGATCTTTGACATTTTACTCATTGCTTTTCATTTTTATACATTTGTATTTCAGAGTAGTTACTGAGACTGAATATTAAGATAATATAATACACATTTCACTATTCTAAAATAAGCTTATCACTAATTCAAACTGATAAAGTGTACTGAGCTTTTTTTGTACTGAGCTTCAATATATTAAGTCAGACTTACCCATACATTCAATACATTTCCTAATGTTAAATGGTCGTCAATTCCCCATACATGCTTGAAAAATATACTTACCTTATCACAACGCAAAATATTATTAAAGTTTACTCCATTGTTTATATTTTTGTTGTCATTTGAGTTTTTGTAAACAATGTATTGCTACAACATACCTGTGAAAACTGTCAGTCCTTGCAGCCATAGCTGCATTCAATAGTTTGAGATTGTCTCTGGAGAAATTGTGCCACACAACCTCCAGATTCTGGTTTTAAAGTTTGACCTAGATAGTTTGTGTATTGATATGTAGGCTAGGTGTGCCTTTTTTTAGTTATTGATGTAGTTCTGTTCTTGTCTATTAATGTTCTGTGTTATGTCATGTTTTGTGTGGACCTCAGGAAGAGTACAGTGTGGGGAAAAAGTATTTAGTCAGCCACCAATTGTGCAAGTGCTCCCACTTAAAAAGATGAGAGGCCTGTAATTTTCATCATAGGTACACGTCAACTATGACAGACAAATTGAGCATTTTTTTCTCATCTTGATCTACACAACCTACAACACAATTTCAAACTAAAAGAACAATTGTAGAAATATCCCAATACTTTTGGCCCCGTAAAATGGGGGACCTACATTTACATTTACATTTTAGTCATTTAGCAGACGCTCTTATCCAGAGCGACTTACAGTTAGTGAATACATGTTTTTTTATATATATATTTTTTTATACTGGCCCCCCGTGGGAATCGAACCCACAACCCTGGCGTTGCAAACGCCATGCTCTATCAACTGAGCTACATCCCTGCCGGCCATTCCCTCCCCTACCCTGGACGACGCTGGGCCAATTGTGCGCCGCCCCATGAGTCTCCTGGTCGCGGCCGGCTGCGACAGAGCCTGGATTCGAACCAGGATCTCTAGTGGCACAGTTAGCACTGCGATTCACGGTAATGTCTACACATGTTGTATTCGGCACATGTGGCAAATAAAATTGGATTTGATTTGGAATACATAGAATTGCAGGAAATGAGCTTTCAAACAGTAACATTTTCCATCTAGGGGTTGTGCCAGAGCGCAATGAAATTCACATAGCAAATATCACTCCAGCTTTCTTCAAAAGTTGGCAGCCCTGCAGGAAGGTAGTTAGCTTAGCTAGCAAGCAATCTGTGCGGACACTGGACTGGCGCCAAAGTGAACACTCATCCTTGATACATTACTGTCTGGGCCCTATTATGTCAGTGGGCTTATTTAGTTCGTTTTCGGAAATATGCAAAAAGCAAGATATTTGGTGCAAATCTATAATTCAGGCGAGATTGTTGTTAGCTAGCTAGCTAAATTAGAACGTGTGTGACTAAAACCAGTGCAGTAACCATTTTACTGCATGAATGTTTTCAGTCGTCAGCACATGCAATTTGGAGTTTAAATATATAGCCAATTAATTTTGTATTGAATAACAGTAATTTACATGACGGTTTCAGTAAGAAAACACTGTCCTAATAAAGAGCTAGCGTGTGCTTGTCATAACAAGCTCTCATTGGGTTTCCACTAGTTACCACTACCACAATGTCACAAAAAAATCATAAAAACAAAAATGTGCTTTTTGGTCTTAATTTAAAGTTAGGGTTAGCCATAAGGGCAGCAATATGGTTAAGAGAAATTGTAGAAATAGGCAGGATTTATGACTTTGTGGCTGTGGTAACTAGTAACAATCCTCTCATTGCAAGGTTGCCATAAGGTGTTTCTTTACATGACCTTTGACTGTTGTAAAGCACCGTAATTAATCTACTCAATACAAATTACATCTAGTGGTGACATTACGAACTACATGTTTCTGCATTTCACTGCATAGGTTGTGAACTCGTGAACAGTGCAGTTTCAGATTTACTTTGTGACTAAGTTGAATTCATTCAGCCCTTCTTGTTTATTAGTGTGCTTGTAGTGCTTCAGCACAAACACTTATGGATTCTTACCCACTGCCATAGATAGGTACACCTTAAAGATTTGTCTGAGAAGGTAAACTGAACAAGTGTTTTGTATTTACTTTCGTATTTATAGAGGATATAGTTGCTTTTTGGTGGTTATCATGTAAACCACAAATAGAATGTTCTTAAATAACGTTAACTGTAGTACTTAGTTAAGAAATCATCATTTAGAGTATCTGTTAATCTTTTGGAGCATCAATTGTGTTAAAACATGTATGTTTTTCATTCCATCTCTAAAAAAAAAAACATATTGGCAGATATATCAGTAATCGGTGACTTTTGCCTCCCTAAAATTGGTATCAGACCCAAAAATCCCATATCAGTCGGCCTCTACTTCCTTCATGCGTGCAATGATGTCAGAGGGGAAAAAACTGTGTTCGTTGTTTGCACTAACTTCTTTGTTGTTGTAATATCGCAAATGGACGTGGCTGTTTCACCATTAAGGATTTCAGCATTAAGATATGGTGGGAAATATAAACTGTAGAATATACAGTATTTACTATGAAATGTACTATGTGAATAATATGACAGTTATTTACAGTAGATAAAGTGAGCAGTACAAATAAATAATAGCAGCAGTGATGGTAGTGAGAGAAAGTGTGTATGTATGAATGTGTGAGTAAAGAGTCCCTGCAAATAGTCTCTTAATAGGGGGCAGGTGAATAGCAGGTACAGTATGTGCAGATGGACTGCTAGGGTTAGCTGTTCAACAGTGTTATGACCTGGAAGCTGTGTTGGAACCGGTAGGTCCGAGACCGGATGCTCCGGTACCTTCTGTCAGATATGTAGTATACCTACCGCTCGGAACCTCTTCTTCAACTCCTCATCTGTTGCCTCTGGATCAATTTGTAACACCTCAAAGAGGTGCTGTAATTCCTAAACGGTTCACCTAATTTGGATGAACATACTCTCACATTAAAGCTGACAGTCTGCACACACTAAACACATTACGCCCTGTTCAAATCGATCATTATTGTGTCACCTGGTCAAATTGTTAACAAAGCAGGATGGTGAATCATTCACAAACATACAATATCCTTTAAATAAATGCATGTCGCTACACCCGTAATAACATCTGCTAAATATGTGTATGTGACCAATACAATTTGACTCTCTCTCTCTCTCTCTCTCTCTCTCTCAAAATGGAATACTCATCCACCATCACTCAACATTCAAAAATTATCTGGAGAAGAAAATGCGCACACAGGATTAATTAATCTTTAACAGGTTAGGTGAGATGTTACCTTTGATGCGGTTTCATCATACGGAAAAATCACTGCAAAGGTTCCTGGGTACACCACCAAGGCTGCCGCTGGGATAAGAGGATAATATCTCCCTCCATGCCCCTCCTATTTTTTGTGTTGTGTGTGAAAAGCAAATACAGCTATAGATGCAGTTGTAGTTGTGGAGCCTGTTGGATGATTGGATGGACTGTAGGCTACGATGCTGTTTTCTCGACGAGAAAGACTGAAGGTGATCGTACTGTATCTCTTCGGTACGTACCCCTTGATTTTGTGACTGTGGTTGTAAAAACGACAGCTGTCGTTAAACTCATTTGTGACACCTTTAGTCATTCCACGTGATACAGAAGCGTCATATATGTATATATATATATATATATATATATGTGTGTATATATGTATATGTAAGCTATACATGTAGGCTTATGAGTCTTATTAGTTATGTTCCCAAATGTAATTGCTAAATCTGCAGGCTAGCTGATGCTTTATACCATTTTATGGGACTTCCACTGTTGTTCCAGGCATAGCCTTCACACTCAAGTTACACAGCTGATATAAAAAGGAGGCATCGACCCATTTGCTAAGGTTGTAGGGAGTTTTTCTGTGCAAAAGCAATTACACAAGCATAGGAAGTAGTTTGATGGTGGGGGCTGGGTGCTTTTTTTTGTTTGTTTATTTTCTTCTTTTATACATTTCAGGGGGTGTTACAGCAACCCTACTTCCCACAGCTATGTTCACAAGCGTTGATGGATACACCTAACAACAGTTGTGTGAAAAAAATTGTGCAGACAAACTCTGTTGCGAAGTTGATCAACTTGAGTAACTCATTTTAACAGGCAGGTGACTTTGTTATCTATTTCTCTGAGAATAATGATCTGACTGCAACCAATGTGCCTCTTATTTGAATGTTTGGCTTGAATATGAGCTCCCACAATTCCCCACTGTGTTCAGGATGGAGAAGAGAGAGCATTTTCTCTTGGTCACAAAATTACATTAGATTTTTGTCCAACTTGCCTAAAGCGCTGCCCTTGCACAACTTCCCTTTTCTGAAATGGTAATATGAACAACTGTGTTTATGTTTCGTATTATGTTTTAAAACATTATTGTCATGATAAGAACTAGAGTTGGGAATCTCCTCAATGGTGTTCTATCATTAAATGACAATGAGCATAGGTCCATCAACAAAATGAAGAACCCCCGTAGATCAAACATTCAGGGCCTGTTTCCTGTACACAGATTAAGCCCTGGACTCAAAAGTATACACAATGTAGAATCTCCATTGAAATAGTGTTTTAGTCCAGGACAAGGTCTAATCTGTGTCTGGGAAACAAGCCCTCAAAGTATTTAAGATATAGTGTGAGAAGGAAAAGATGTGGGTTTTGAGGTTTGGGTTTTGTCTGTCAGATCTAGCTTGAGTTTCTTGACTGAGGTGCTTGTGAACTGTTAAAGGACTGTACGTTATTTATAATGAGGGATACCTGGAGAACTTTGACTTTGACTAGGGCATTCCAAAACTTCAAATTTGTTGCTTTTAACCATTTCATGTAGACTTGATTGTGTGTTTTGGATCATTGTCTTGCTTCATGACCCAGCTGCTCTTCAGCTTCAGCTCACAGACGGATGGCCTGATATTCTCCTGTAGAATTCTCTTATAAAGAGCAGAATCCTGTCTGGACATGTCCATTTGACGTGATGCTGTGTCAATGCTAGCCGTTTGTCTATCTTTAAGTTTCATCAGGGCTGAACTCCTTGAAATAAGTTTCAACTTAGACTTGAATAATATAAAATTGTTAAATAGTCATGCGACATAGCTATAGCTAATTTGTAGGAGTTTCACAAATTCACTATGAATTCCAAGGTTTGATACGGAGCTCGGAGAAAAGATTGTGCTCAGAGCTTTTCCTTTCGACACACCAACTCGCCCATACTCTAGTCGACATATTGCTAACATATTGCTAACATAATTGCAAAAGGGCTTTCGAATGATAAATTAGCCTTTTAAAATGATAAACTTGGATTAGCAAACACAACGTGCCATTGGAACACAGGACTGATTGCTGCTGATAATGGGTTGTATGCTTTGATGGAGGTAGTTTATTTTGTGTCATGTGTTTAATATTTTGAAATGTGTCATTTTGGCCAACGTGTTTCAGTTTGGGGCTACATGTTAATTGTTTAGAAAAAGTTTGGAAAAATGTTCTCAAGAAATTGAGAAACTGTAATTTGCTACATTGTTATGATATTAGAGAAGACCTATGATATTTAAGACAATGCATTGATATTTAGTCTCTCTTTCTCTCCACAGTACTCTGCACAGCCCAGCATTCAGCCCAAACTGAGACTTGGCAGGGGAAAGGCATTGTGGGACAGTTTCTCTCTTTTCCAGAGATGGTGTTGAAGTCTGGCAATTTACTTTATGGAGACTTTGGCAATATTGCACAGGTGTACCCTGGTAAACAAAGTAATACAAACCTTGAGAATAGATTTAAAAACCGACTTCACTGGAACAATGTTACTGGATTCTTCACTTTGTCAGACCTACAAATAGAGGATTCTGGGGTTTATACTTTGGAGAATGCAGATGACAATGAAGTCAAGATGACACGTTTCAGCTGACTGTGTACTGTAAGTGTGTGTGTGCTGTAAATTACAAAATCATTAAAACGGCAATCAGCAGTAGAAACAGTCGCTTTATTGGTTTGGTAAAAAGCTGAGGGATGGGGCTGGAGAAATGTAACCACTCTCAAATTCATAGACAGAGCAATGGATGCAAGGACTGATCAACCATTATATAACACTTATAGTTGTAACAATGTTTTGAAACAATATAGTGTTTGTTTACAATTTATTTGTTCACAAACACTGGAGTAAAACAAGCTGATGGGTTCTCTGACGCGGACTAAGCTCATGAGGCACTTCTAAGTTATATTCTTCAAGAATCAATGGGTCAATATCATTTAATGTATAAGTCCAAAAATGGATGTAGCAACTGCTCTTTGCCACTTTAAAGAAGTTCAATTTCACAAATTCTCATTTATTCATTATTTGTCTTCCAGATGTTCTGTCCAAACCTCAGGTGATGGTCCATGATAATAGCTCCTGTAGCATGGTGTGTTCTGTGGAGAACGGGAGAGAGGTGACCCTGTCCTGGTACAGAGGAGGAGAGATACCTCAACCAGAGCAGCAGCCCTGACCTCAACATCACCCTCTCTCTACCTCTCAAGGTGGATGAACAGAACAGAGACTCTTACAGATGTGAGGCTGCCAACCCAGTCAGCAAGGAGAACCGCTGTTGTTCCAAAATCCTGTAAAGAGAGTGATCCCTCCAAGGTGACAGGTAAAAACATGTACAGTAGCAATGTTAAATTGCTTATATCCAGAAAATACCAACTTCTATATGAAACAATAAGTATGGTAGAGCTCATTTTTTGAAGTGCAATGTTTTAATTGCAATTCTCTCTTTTTACTTTAGATGGTGATAAGAGGACTCAAGGTTTTCTTATTATTGCTGTAATCTGCGTTTTGGTTGCCTCAGGACTGGTTGCAATCAATTTTAAGAAGAGGAGAAACGGACAATCACAAGCAGGTATTTCTTTTAGCGGGGTGAGGTCATTCTCCTTGTCAAAACATGTTGTGCACAACCTTTTTAAAGTATCAAGGATAGTGTTTTGGAAAAGGTAGGAAATGTTTGCCTGAACAACGGATGCAGGTCAAATGAAGTGGTATCTCTTCCACACTTCCCCTTCTTGGTCAGACAGTTGCATTATCTCAGACCACTTCTCTAAATGTTGAAAAAGCAGAAGGCAAATACATTTTTACATTTTTAGTCATTTAGCAGACGCACTCTGACAATCATTACTATATAGCTTCTCTGATAAACATATGAGACGTAATACAGCAGCTTTTGCAGCCCTCGTGGCTACAACTATTGCCTTTAGCTCTGTGCCAGTAGGTTAATGGTGTATTGAGTTGCACAGACAACCTGAGTTTAATAACCGGCCTGATGTCATTGCAACCAATTTTGCCCATGTGAAATGGTTGGGTTGCACAATGAGAAGCCAAACTGCACATATTGTGTACACACTGAACAGTCAAAAGTTTGGACACACCTACCCATTCAAATGGGTTTGTTTACATCCCTGGTAGTGAGCATTTCTTATTTGCCAAGATAATCCATCCACCTGACAAGTGTGGCTTAGGAGGAGGAGTTCTGTCTGTAATAAAGCCCATTTGTGGGGAAAAACTCATTCTGATTGTCTGGGCCTGGCTCCTGCATGGGTGGACCTATGCCCTCCCAGGCCCACCCATTGCTGCGCCCTTGCCCAGTCATGGGAAATCCATAGACTAGAGCCTAATGAATTAATTTCAATTGCTTGATGTCCTTTTATGAACTGTAATTCAGTAAAATCTTAGAAATTGTTGCATGTTGCATTACTATTTTTGTTCAGTATAGTATGGCTTTGATCTTCCCGTGTCTTTTACAGTATTTGCCAAGTCTGTGGACTTTTAAGCTTGTCTTCGTAGTTCCTCCCACTAGTTTTAGGAATGGTCCTAGATGTGTTGACTGTTGAGTTGCCTTCTGCAGAACAATGAGACTAGACAAGAGAGCGTCAGACGTGTCTTGTTTCCTTCCTCTGGCACAAAGTATCTAATAACGAAACATGTGATCTTTTTTCTTTGTCCCTTTCAATCCTTCCCTCCCTACCTCCCTCTCTCTCCCTGTCTAGGAGGAGCGAACAGGTATACAAGAACTGGAGTCGCTTAGAGACTACCCTAACCTTACATTAGTTTATGGTACACTCCAGTTACATCGCATGGCTGCCAGCGAGGATGTTAACACTGCATGAAGGATTAAAACAGGAAGGTTCTGAGAGGGTGTCATGATCATTCACATCCAAGAGAAGGCTTTACATCCTAAAGAGGACGTTAAGACAAAAGTATAGTAAATATTCATCTAAAAAAAGGTAATGGAGGCACAGTTGTTACTGGAGAAAATTCACAATTAACCATTGCGATGTTATCATTTCAGACTTCCTTTGTTGGTGTCACGACTTCGGCTGAGGCTGCCTCCCCTCCTTGTTCGGGCAGGCTTCGGCGTTCGTCGTCACCGGCTTACTAACCACTGCCACCCCATCATCATCACAATTGTCTTGTCTTGTCAATCACACACACACTTAATTAGTCCGTGTATACGTTTTCCCTCTGCCCCCTTGTCCTTGTGGGTGATTGTTATTTGTGAGAGTAGTGTAGGTCGTTGGAGCTACTCGTAACATATTGTTGCCAGGGTAGATTTTCCCCTGTGCCTATGTATTGTTGGATATCCATTACATGGTATTTGCCAGGGATGATAGTTTCCCCTGTGCCTGTTTCGTTGATCGCTACTTGAGCGCATTTGTGTGTCTACGAAGGAATAAACTCTGTGAATACCCTCCTGCGCCTGACTCCTTTCCATCACACTCATCACAGTTGGTCATTCTCACAGTCTTTTGTTGAATTGGGGCCTCAATGAGATTCACTGATACAGACAAATTCAATAGCTATGCCTAGGGTTATTAGTAGGATGATCCCTCTTTTCAATTGCCCATTGTCCCAATGTATATGTTAAAACAAATGGAACCTATCTTTTAATCCAATTCACTAGTGTGTTTGCTATGCTATTGCTGGGCCAAAGCTTCTTTTCAGTACTGTCTGTTCTGTTTAAATGTAGGTGCCTGCCCTTTAACTTTTTATAGCTGGTCATTGTTTAGCTAGCCAGTGGATAGCAGCAGTGTACATACAAAGCAGATGTTTGGTGAGATAAAGCCACCTACTCCTTAGAAGCATTGGCTGTTAGGCTATGTTGGAAACAAAGTCCATAGGTAGATTTTTTCCTTTCACCATGTAGATTCTATTGAAACATTTCTGAGGGGTAGATCTTGATTTGCCGTTTGACTCAGAAAGTGATCTTTGGTGACATTTTACTCATTTATTTTCGCAAAATGCGAATTATTATTAAGTGTAGTTCAGATCTTGCTTTGATGACAACTGTGTGCATGCATTTTGAATGTACGAAATTAACAGTTTAGTTTATTATGATGGACCATTTATTGCTTGTCCTTATCTAGACAGTATGTAGCTCATTATCTCTTAATAATACAATCACTCCCTCCTGCACGCTCCTGCAGACACTCCTTCTATTAGAGCATTTTGTGCTCCAACTACATTAGCCCACATATATAAATGTGAAAAAATACAAAATCTACTGACACCATAGTGAGTTGTTGCACTGGAGGCTATTTCATTTTTATACATTTGTATTTCAGAGTAGTTACTGAGACTGAATATTAAGATAATATAATTCACATTTCACTATTCTAAAATAAGCTTATGACTTATTCAAACTGATAAAGTGTACTGCACTTCTTTTTTTGTTCTGACCATCAATATATTAAGTCAGACTTGCACATACATTCCATACATTTCCTAATGTTACATGGTCGTCAATCCCCCATACATGCTTGAAAAATATACTTACCTTATCACAACCCAAAATATGATATAAGTTTACTCCATCGTTTATATTTTTGTTGTCATTTGAGTTTTTGTAAACAATGAATGTATTACTACAATAACCTTTGAAAACTGTTAGTCTTTGCATCCATAGCTGCAGTCAAGAGTTTGAGATTGGCACAATTTCTCCAGATTCTGGTTTTAAAGTTTGACCTAGATAGTTTGTGTTTATGTATTGATATGTAGGCTACGTGTGCCTTTTAAAAAAAAAATTGATGTAGTTCTGTCCTTGAGCTGTTCTTGTCTATTAATGTTCTGTATTATGTCATGTTTTGTGTGGACCCCAGGAAGAGTAGCTGCTGCTTTTGCAAAAGCTAATGGGGATCCTAATAAATACCAAATACCAAATGTAGCCTACTTCTAGGGTCAAACTAGGAGGGACCACTGTAATTGTTTGGTGGTTTTCAAGTGTGTTTCTCTATTTGAGTTTAAGTGTATTTGGGACGTTTTGTCCAGTTACTTTTAATGCCAGGCAGCTGTGCATTTCTAATTTGAAAAGAATGATGACTAATTCTATTAAAGTTCAAGCATTGCTTTCAAGGAAACAATGTTTTTCTTCTAATGTATTTCCCCATCTAGTGGTTGAATGGTTTTATATTTCAGCATACTGCATACTGTACTGTACATACTACACTATTTTGTATTCTGAGCCAGTGTGCTATATATTGTAAGTGTAACTTAAATCATTTGTCAGCTAAATGTTCTCATACCTTTCTATGCTTTTACGTTTGGACTGTGGTCATGTATTCTTGTGCCAATTGATATTTTATATAAAAACATGTCTTGTAAATTATGCCATGCCAATGTTATTTTTAATCGCATTTGGTCAGAAAATATGACTGCCTCATTTATCATTCTGTGTAAATTCAGATTGTGCAATGTTGGGAGTTCAGTGTTTTGTTACAGGAAATGAGTATCAAACCCAGATTAGCCATACAGTCTTTCAGTCTGCAGCAGCATGGACAAGGTGGTGAGTACCTTTACATTTTCACTTAGATTTCTGATCTATAGCATTATGGTCAATATGAACAACTCCTTTTGGCTCCCCCTAAAACAAAGATGTTTCTGCAGCCCACACTGACAACCCCTCCTTCTTGTGCAGAGGTTTCTGGGTGTTGAACATTTTCACCAGAAACCACCCTATATGTATACAGTGAGGGGAAAAAAGTATTTGATCTCCTGCTGATTTTGTACGTTTGCCCACTGACAAAGAAATGATCAGTCTATAATTTTATTGGTAGGTTTATTTGAACAGTGAGAGACAGAATAACAACAACAAAATCCAGAAAAACGCATGTAAAAAATGTTATAAATTGATTTGCATTTTAATGAGGGAAATAAGTATTTGACCCCCTCTCAATCAGAAAGATTTCTGGCTCCCAGGTTTCTTTTATACAGGTAACGAGCTGAGATTAGGAGCACACTCTTAAAGGGAGTGCTCCTAATCTCAGCTTGTTACCTGTAAAAAAGACACCTGTCCACAGAAGCAATCAATCAATCAGATTCCCAGCTCTCCACCATGGCCAAGACCAAAGAGCTCTCCAAAGATGTCAGGGACAAGATTGTAGACCTACACAAGGCTGGAATGGGTTACAAGACCATCGCCAAGCAGCTTGATGAGAAGGTGACAACAGTTGGTGAGGAATCAGCCCAGAACTACACGGGAGGATCTTGTCAATGATCTCAAGGCAGCTGGGACCATAGTCACCAAGAAAACTAATGGTAACACACTACGCCGTGAAGGATTGAAATCCCCGCCCGCAAGGTCCCCCTGCTCAAGAAAGCACATATACAGGGCCGTCTGAAGTTCGCCAATGAACATCTGAATGATTCAGAGGGGAACTGCGTGAAAGTGTTGTGGTAAGATGAGACCAAAATTGAGCTCTTTGGCATCAACTCAACTCGCCGTGTTTGGAGGAGGAGGAATGCTGCCTATGACCCCAAGAACACCATCCCCACCGTCAAACATGGAGGTGGAAACATTATGCTTTGGGGGTGTTTTTCTGCTAAGGGGACAGGACAACTTCACCGCATCAAAGGGACGATGGACGGTGCCATGTATTGTCAAATCTTGGGTGAGAACCTTTTCCTCAGCCAGGGCATTGAAAATGGGTTGTGGATGGATATTCCAGCATGACAATGACCCAAAACACACGGCCAAGGCAACAAAGGAGTGGCTCAAGAAGAAGCACATTGAGGTCCTGGAGTGGCCTAGTCAGTCTCCAGACCTTAATCCCATAGAAAATCTGTGGAGGGAGCTGAATGTTCGAGTTGACAAACATCATCCTCAAAACCTTAATGACTTGGAGAAGATCTGCAAAGAGGAGTGGGACAAAATCCCTCCTGAGATGTGTGCAAACCTGGTGGCCAACTACAAGAAACATCTGACTTCTGTGATTGCCAACAAGGGTTTTGCCACCAAGTACTAAGTCATGTTTTGCAGAGGGGTCAAATACTTATTTCCCTCATTGAAATGCAAATCAATTTATAACATTTTTGACATGCGTTTTTCTGGATTTTCTTGTTGTTATTCTGTCTCTCACTGTTCAAATAAACCTACAATTAAAATTATAGACTGATCATTTCTTTGTCAGTCGGCAAATGTACAAAATCAGCAGGGGATCAAATACTTTTTTCCCTCACTGTAATTAATTAAGTGTATAAAATATATTTAGTGAACAAAGTGTAAACCAAATTAAGTAGAGCCTATACGTTGTGAATAATGTATTACCGTAATATCATCAAGGAACTCAGGGAAAAGACAAGACAACAATATTCAGATTGGGGGACATTCTATAGGCCTAATATAGGAGAGCTGGCAGAACAGTAATCATGTACTAAAATGTAAACGTTTCATAATATTGATTAATTTAATGAAGATACCGTGCAAATAAATGTCTTACAAACTTTCAGATAAAGTGGTCTGACATATCATCACCAACTATACATGTTATATTCAACACACACTCTCAATTTTACAACTCCTCTTCTCTCCATCTGTATTCTCCACAGTATAACCCCAGAATCTTCTATCTGAAAGTCACAGAGTAGATCTCTCTGCACAGAGTAGGTAACGTAGATATCTCAGGATCAACACAGTTGTCACAAAGTACAGTATATATTATATACTGTACGTAAGCTACAACATTTAGAGTCTGTGTTTTTTCCAGTTTAAACACCCAAAAACTTTTTTTGCTCATGTTACATCACTCGTCTTGAAACTTACTGCAGCATTTTCACCCATCTCACTTGTCTGCCCATGACCTATTTAACAAAGCACATTACCTGTTCCTCAACCACTCGTCTCTCGCTCTACCATCTGGCCCCTACATGACAGATAGACAATGACCACGTAATCACAGGAAACCAATAAACATTTTCTGTTTATAGTGGAGCAGTCTAACTAACCTTTAACATGCAGTGTAAATACATGCCTACTTTGGATGAAATGTATGAGTGAAAAGCTGATCGGTATTACATTTTAATATATTGGTTGGGCATATCCTGCATAGATAGATGCATTGCATTCGGAAAGTATTCAGACCAATTGACTTTTCCACATTTTGTTACATTACAGCCTTATTCTGAAATAGATTAAGTCGGTTTTTCCCTCATCAATCTACACACAATACCCCATAAAGACAAAGCAAAAACAGGTTTTTAGAAACTTTGTGAAAACTTAAAAACAGAAATACCTTATTTACATAAGTATTCAGACCCTTTGCTATGAGACTTGAAATTGAGCTCAGGTGCATCATGTTTCCATTCAACTCAGTTCAATTCTAATGAGAGATTAATCAGTTAACAGTCACAGATACAGTAAATGTGTAGTTTAGAATCATTGTTCCACATGTCTGTGAATCAAAACAACCAAGTGTTGTCATACTCTGTAGTTATTGTGCCAGACTGGACTCAATGGACAGACGTTTGGTATTTTATGTAAATCTTTGTACCTCCAATAGGTAATATTGATTATAAAGACAGAATGTTACTTAAGACAGAAATTATAAGAGGAAGGTTGGTTGGGGAGGATGAGTGGGGCGTATATTACGACCATCTAGGAATCAAAATGTTGCAATCAACTATAGCATTTTAGCTTACCCTTCCCCTAACCATTATTATATCAACCCAATCACCTAACCTTTTACGTAAATGATCCTACCTTTGTCGTTAGTTTTCCTAAACACTAAAGTAAATTCTCCCCATAATTCTCCTTTGTTGTTACAACACAACAAGCAACCTGGTCACAGAGAAAGACATATCATACATCTTGGAGGAAGTATAGTATTATAAGTTACTCATCCAATTTGTAAGAACTATGATACTGTCCTCTAGTTT